ATACCAAAGGTGACATAGCTAACTTCGCCCCCAGAAGCGTTCAGACCAGGAACATTTGCAAGCTCAAGGGGAGGGTCGTTACGGAACAGGACTTGAGGGGCATTCTGGAGCGTCAAGACACGTCGCCGGGCGTCCACAAATTCCTATAGGCTGTTAGTAGGGGCTCCCCGTGATGCGCGGGCCAATCGTGGCAAAGTACGAACCTGCAGGAAGACCTTGCCAAAGATCCGGTCTGTCTCTTCACGGAACACGGTGCTGAAGATCACTGTGACTCGGTCCCAGTTGGCTTTGATATAGATGGCCTCTTCTTCACGGTAGTGAATTGCCATAACTTCACCGCCTTCTTGGATACCCTGCGGTGCTGATTCTGAGGTGTATCTGGAAGCCTCCTCGGCGAGCTTGTTGAACTCATCGAATGCCTTCTCGAAAGGAGCAGCCATTGCGTTCCGTTTCAGGAGGGCAAGCTTCATAATCAGGTCATTCCGGGCCTCCTCCTCTGCGGGCAGGTTTTCGAGATCGACTTGTACTGAGAAATCATATCCCGGCTCTGGAGATACAATGTAGGGACCGTATTCTCTCTCCAACACCTCCTGGGCTCCGTACTGCACCAGTTCCTTGTAGCACTTCACATTGATCGAGATAAGGATCTTCGTCTTAGACTCGGGAGTGGAGAGGTGGAATGTCACACCGTCGAAGTCGGAAACCACTTGGTCAATGGAGGCGGGGGGTGCTCTGAATTCAGCTTGTTAGCCGGGTGCCTGCTTCGGGGGTATGTGTATACAATGCGCGGGATGGCAGTGCGGGGGAGAGGAACGAATCGTACCCAGAAAAACGCTCCGTAAGGAGCGACTGGATCAAAGCATTCTGATAATCTAAGAGAAGCATGACGGGCAGGACAATGGATGGTATGCAGTGCAGGTGGGTGGCTGTTGTGAGGTTGCCCGTGATCGTCATGGGCGGTGGGGGGAGCCGTAGAGGTCGCTGTCACCGCCCGTATTAATTTTGTCCTATCGATAGCAATCGGAGATTCCAAAAATTTTCCCATCCACCCTCAACGATGGTGAAATCATACTTGTACGTGCGAATTTTTGTGATTTGGGATCCTCTGATCTGGGCGCTAACTCCTATACAGTAAATTCGAGCATTCGAATACATTCGGGCTCGTCGCCTCGGCGTCCTCGAATGCGGTTTGGGCTAAAGATGACCAGGCCAACATTGCGCGCCAGACGGGCGCTGGGCGAGCCATTGTCGGCGCAAGTGAGGAAGTTCTGTGTTGGGATGTGAAAAAGGGCGAACTCCTTGGAAGATGGCGCGATTCTGCCTGCAGAGCGCAGGTTAGTGTGGTCACTCAGAGCATGACAGATGAAGATATCTTCGCAGTTGGGTGAGTGTCCTCCGGTGTGACCTAGTGGGATGATTTTCCTCTAACTATTATGTACCTTCTCAGCTACGAGGATGGAAGTATTCGTCTTTGGGATTCCCGGACCGCCACGGTCATTATTTCTTTCAACGGTCACAAATCCGCCGTCACCAAGTTGGCTTTCGACAACGCAGGCGTACGCCTCGCCAGTGGTTCAAAAGATACCGATATCATCCTCTGGGATTTGATCACTGAGACCGGTCTTTTCAGACTTCGCGGACACACCGATCAGATCACATCGCTACATTTCCTATTCCCTTCCCCAGAATTGCTTACTGCTTCCGGATTGAATGAACACCCAGGATTCCTATTGACCACCGGAAAGGATGCATTGATCAAAGTCTGGGATCTTGCCTCTCAGCACTGCATTGAAACACATGTGGCACAGTCAAATGGCGAGTGCTGGAGCTTGGGTCTTTCACCTGACCAGGGCGGATGTATCACAGCCGGCAACGATGGTGAGCTCAGAGTCTGGTCGATCGACGAGGCGGCTATGATGGAGATTTCCAAGGAGAAGGTGGGCGCCGATGGTCGCCGAATCCTCACAGAACGAGGAACTTTCTACCGACATGGCAAGGACCGCACACTTGGCATCCGATTCCACCCCCGTTCAGACTACGTTGGATTCCACGGTTCCGACAAGTCGGTCGAAGTTTGGCGCATTCGCTCTCAGTCGGAGGTACAAAAGAGTATGGCCCGGAAGAAGAAGAGAAGAAAGGAGAAGGAGGCTCGCACCGAGGAAAACGGAGCGGAAGAGGATAACGACAAGCCTGAGGATGTTTCCGCCGCTCCTGTATCTGAAGTCTTTGTCCAACATGTTATCGTGCGCACTGGTGGAAAGGTCCGTTCATTCGACTGGATGACCAACAAATCAACTGGCCTGAACCTGCTTGTGGCAACAACAAACAACCAGCTTGAGGCCTACAACGTTGTGCCAGCGAACAAGAAGAACACCGACAGCGAGGATCCGGACTACACTCGGAGCTTGGCAGTGGACATTCCTGGTCACCGAACAGATATCCGGTCGATTGCATTGAGCTCCGACGACCGAATGCTTGCCTCTGCTTCGAATGGCACTCTCAAGATCTGGAACGTTCGCACCGAGAGTTGTCTACGAACACTCGAGTGTGGATATTCCCTGTGTTCCGCATTCCTTCCTGGTGATAAGATTGTCGTTGTTGGTAACAAGAACGGAGAACTCGAGGTGTTTGATATCGCATCCTCAACATTGCTCGACACCATCAAAGCCCACGATGGACCCGTGTGGTCACTTCACGTGCACCCAGATGGCAAGTCTATGGTCAGTGGAAGTGCAGACAAGACAGCCAAGTTTTGGAATTTCCAGGTTGTCCAGGAGGAGATCCCAGGAACCAAACGTACCACTCCCCGCCTCAAGCTGGCACACACAAGGACTCTGAAGGTTAACGACGATATCCTCAACCTTCGTTTCTCCCCGGATGCACGGCTTCTAGCAGTTTCCCTCTTGGACAACACCGTGAAGGTCTTCTTCGTCGACTCGCTGAAGCTATTCCTCAACCTTTACGGACACAAGCTTCCTGTCTTGAGCATGGATATTTCCTACGACAGCAAACTCATTGTCACCTGCTCAGCTGATAAGACTGTTCGACTCTGGGGCTTGGACTTTGGTGACTGCCACAAGGCTTTCTTGGCCCACGAGGACAGTATCATGGCAGTGGCATTCGTTCCCCACAACAAGGATGGAAACGGTCACAACTTCTTCAGCGCAAGCAAGGACCGTATCATCAAATACTGGGACGGTGACAAGTTCGAGCAAATCCAGCGCCTCGTTGGTCACCACGGTGAGATCTGGGCACTTGCCATGAGTCACACTGGTGATTTCATTGTCAGTGCCAGTCACGACAAGAGCATCCGCATCTGGCAACAAACCGACGAGCCGTTGTTCCTGGAGGAAGAACGTGAGAAGGAGATGGAAGAGGCCTACGACAACACACTCACCGCGTCTCTCGAGCAGGAGGAGGATGGTGAAGATGGCGAGAAGGCCGAGGCCGTCGATGCTGGCAAGCAGACGACCGGCACTCTCATGGCCGGAGAAAAGATCATGGAAGCTCTGGAACTAGGCCTCGAGGATCTCGAAGTCGTACGCGACTGGCGTAAGGTTAAGGCCGCCAACCCCAATGCCGCCGCGCCCGATCGTAACCCCGTCTACCTGGCTCTCAACAACATTTCCGCCGAGCAGCACGTTCTGAACACCGTCCAGAAGATCCCCGCAGCTGCCCTCCAGGACGCTCTCTTGGTTCTGCCATTCTCCAAACTCTCCGCTCTCTTCACCTTCCTCAACATCTGGGCCGATCGCGAATGGAACGTGCCCCTCACCTGCCGCGTGTTGTTCTTCATTCTGAAGACCCACCACCGCCAGATTGTTAGCAGCAAGATGATGCGCCCTATGCTTGACAGCATTCGGGTATCTCTGCGTCGGGTTCTTGCCCGCCAGAAGGACGAGATGGGCTTCAACCTTTCCGCGCTGCAGTTCATCGGCAACCAGATCCGCGAGCAGAGTACCACGGACTACGTTGATGAGGATACCTGGGAGGAGCAGCAGACCTCCAAGGGTACGGGCAAGAAGCGCCAGTTCGTCAGCGTTGCCTGAGTTTAAGATTAGGTTTGTGTACAAGCATGTCTATTGGCGTTATGATCATTTTCGACCTTGTTACCTTGGAGGTCTTCTCTATCTTGTTTTCCATATAAAAGTTTTATATCCTTGGGAGTTGAAGAGAATATAAGGAATGTATGATAGTTCAATTTCGAAGTAAAATATAATCTTTTCCCTGGGATAATTGTTTACTGAATTTTCACAAAGCGAAATGTATCAAAGTAATAGAACAGAATAATTCATTCGAGTGGTCTAGCTATTATACCCTTCCATATGCAACAATCCAAGCAGTCGACGATACCGATAAAAAATATAGAATCTGTATTGCAAAGAGACATCGTTAGCGATTTACTCCTAGCAACGACACATTGATCTTTCCAAGACCAGAACCAAGAAAAGAAACAACAAGCATCCGAAGACTCTACTCAGGAGAACCAATGTAAGCATCGACGACAGGGATTTCAGCCCCTGTCATACCTCTTCCGGCTCTTCCTATTAAAATTCCGGTTCTAATGCGAATCTCATCATGATAGAGTCTGTTTGGTGGATGTTTGTTGTTTCCTCACTTGTGGTCCTGTCAGGGGAGCTTAGTGCAACATACCTATTAGTGTTTTGTTCCAGCATGGACCAAAAATCAATCTCATTTATTGGCCTTGGTCCACACTGGACATTGGTGTTGGTTGGAGCTGGAGAAGAGGAAAGAATTCAGGTTGGAGTTTTGTGAGAAAATTTGGCCCGGTGGAGCTCTATTAGTCATTTAAGTCACGTGTTGTTTTTGTATGGGGCTCGAGTCTACCCCTGGGTAATAGGTACGGGATTTGTATAAAAATTCTGTATAATATTTAATATTCAATCAATGTTCATTTTCATACTGGTATCAATTTCATAACGGTCATGATTCTCTCGGTGCTGTTTAAAGCATGTGGGGTGAAACATCTCCAGATTTGATCAAGAGGATGGCTTCATTGTCCCACAGCAAGAACATGTCCACCACTGAGTCTCCATAAAACTACTACACGAGGTGCAAACCCATCCAAGGGGCTTCTTATCTGCACCCCGATCCAAGGACTTAAGGGTATCCAGTGCACGGGTGCGGTTCTTGAAAAGAAATGGATCACCAGGATTCACGTCCTTCTCTTCCTTTCGATCAAGAGTTAAAGGCCTTTTCTTCGAGTTTCGTGACTCTGAACGCACTGGTTGGCTATTGTTTCGGGCAGAGGTAGATGTGGATAGCGTGTTGGTCGGAGGCGGTCGTTCTGCTGCACAAACATCACAACATAAGAAGGTAGATGGGTTCTCGAGAGTGCACATTGGGCAGATCCAGGGTGTCTCGTATGAGCTGTTATCGGCTGTAAGATCAACAGTTTCATTGCGAGTCGGTGAAGGAGCTTCTTTTTTGAAGCACAGGCAGAGTTTCGGGGATAACAGGCGAGATGTCGGAAGTAGTAGATGGCAGTGTCGATTTTGTTCGAGGTCCTGCTGGGTTTTCTTGACTTGGCGGAACATAAGACGACTCATATTTCTCCCTTTCTTCTTCTTGTATCATTTCGATAAATGCCTCCATGATGGCCCTCTCGTTTGCGTCATCTTCCTCGGCTTGGGTTCTGAACCCATGCGAGGCCTCTTCCGCAAGCTCAGTACTTCGGTCTGTGCCAGAAGCACAACCCTGGGTCACTTCAATACGCCGCTGGGCAGCGTCAGCCCGGAGCTTCCGTATATCTGTTCCGCGGAGCACGCGGGTACCGCCGAGCTTTTTGCCAGAATTTTTAGTAAGAACCCTTCGCTTTTCAGCAGCCGCACGAGCTTGACGTCGAGCTTCATCCAGCGGAATTCTTTGGCCACCCAGACGCTTTCCTTGGGATAAGAAGCCCTCTCCGGTGTAGCCTTTTCGGGCTAGTTCCTCATGCTCATCACGAAGTTGATTCCACAGTGCATGAAACTGTTGGTTGTGAGGACCAATCACATTGTGGGCGAGTCTAAACTTTATCAGAGTTTGTATTTTGGGATATTTAGACGTAAAATCACTCACTCGTGAAGCATAGTATCCAAAACCTCCTCGATGGGGAGAAATTGCCGTTGATCGGAGGGATACCGTAATCTTAGACAGATCTTCTGGCCCGAGTTGACATTCAGCCCCAGCAGGTTTCGCTGCTGCGGATAAAATTCACAGAGCGCGCCAACTCTCCAGGCGCGCTGTCGCATGATCGGTTTGACCAACGATGCGACCTTGCGCAGGATCAGCAAGGCCTCTGCTTCTCGGGGGCGTTTCTTTTCATGGCGGTATTCTGAGATCAGAGGGTCTAGCTCCCGCATTTTCGAGATTTTTGATCAAGAACTTCCACTGCACGGTAAAACAGGATGGCACGAACAGGTGAGATGTTACTGTCTTCGTTTGGATGGCCTCCTCCGAGGCCAGGGTCTAAGCAAGAGGATTTCACATCAGAACATGATAAAACAATGGCATTACACAGATAACCGCGCGGGTAGCTAGGAACAGTCAAGGGAACATAGCCAGTGATGGAAATTCCAGAATCAATCCAAGTTCGGAGCATCCATGGATGGCCTTTTGGCATTGATAATCAAGCAAGGCACAAACTGACGCCTGATATTTAAGGCCTCCAATACAATCACGTGTCTTGGTTCTACACAACTAGTTGTAGCGGAATAGTGTTTTGTCAATAATGTACAATGGTGGTAGGGAGGAGGTAATTGGAACAGTATATCCTGGGTAATATTAATATTACCCAAAGAGATGATTTTCGTTTAATTTTATGCTTATAGTATCATACCGGGTCAAGATATATATTCACAGTAACCTACGTTAATACAATAGCCAAGTTGTTAAAAACAATATCTTGCTAGTTTCTCCCTGTTTCTGGTCACAGAAATACATATAGATCCTAGAGGAATAAAATGAAAAATCATAAACAGCCTAAGTAATCCTGCATACTCCCCGCCCTTGGATGTTTTATAGGTACAAAGCGCTGCTCATGTGACCTTTCCGATAACACTCTCGGTGTTATCAGCATCCATCTTATCGAACTTTCGCTCTTCTTCTTCTTTCCAGCTACTTCCCAAACAAACAAAATGACGAGCGACGACCTGTTCTTTTTTGACTACGTAAGTATCATGGAAGGAGACAAAGAATACCCTCGGTGCTGATACTTTCTCATCTAGCTTGCGTCTATACCCCATGACGTAAGGCGGTATTCCCTCGAAGTCGCAGACTCCATCGACCGGCAAGTCGACTATGCCGCGCACGCGATCAAGGATACGCTGGCCCAGCAATCATGGCTACCACCCACTGTTCGCCCGGCTCGTGTTTCCCCGAGAATGCGGTCATCGCAAGGCCTGACGGACCGGATCCAAAGCTGGATGGCTCGGAATCGCGCGTGGACGGCGGCCATGCTCGCCTTTATTGGAACCGGCGTTGTCTTATACTATGGAAACAAGAAATTACACGGAAAACGGAGAAAGGCCAGAAGGGCGAGCAACGGTGCAAGGAAAGAGATTGTTGGTATGTGTCATAATGCCCGCATTTAATCTGTACTAGGATCTGAGTGCTGATTCTGCGATTATAGTCGTTGCTGGATCGCCCCATGAGCCGATGACAAGGGCTATTGCCATGGATTTGGAACGTCGAGGATATATCGTATATGTGACCGTTTCTTCCGCGGATGAAGAGCATATCGTCAAGTCCGAGAACCGTGTTGACATCAAGGCTCTCTGGTTGGACCTTACAACTGTAAGTGTTGTCCGTGTATCTCTTATACGGGAGAACCCAACTAACATTGTACACTAGACAACCTCCTCGCCGTCCGAAATCCATCCCTCGCTGCAAGAGCTTCGCTCCTTGATCACTCAACCACAGTCGCCTATCGCCGGAGTGCCTCCGCACACCTGCATATTGAGTGGCCTTATCGTGGTCCCGTCACCCAACTATAGCGCAGGCCCTGTCGCAACCATCCCGCCGTCATCGTGGGCCGACACGGTCAACACCCGCCTCCTTTCGCCTATCCTCACAGTGCAGGCCTTCCTCCCCCTGCTGACCCTCCGCAGCAATAATAGCACTATTGTCTTTGCCAATCCTTCCATATCATCTTCCCTTTCCGCGCCATTTGCCGGACCTGAAGTTGCCACAACCCGAGCAATCTCAGGCTTCGCAGCCTCGCTTCGCCAGGAACTTCGTCTCCTCGAACAAGGCAATGTTGACGTCGTTGAGCTGCAGCTGGGAAATATCGACTTAGGACCTACATACCGAAATGGTCAGAATCAGATAGCAGGCACAGAAGTCCTCGCATGGAGTACCCAGCAGCGAGCCCTTTATGCCTCACAGTATCTGTCCAGTGTTGAGCAGCGCCCAGTTGCCTCTGCTGGTCCTAGCACAGTACGCGGGTCTCCGGCGCGGAATCTCCACTACGCTATTTTGGATGCTTTGGAGCCCACATCGCGGGATATGTTCGGCCGAAAAGTGTCCAAGAAACGTGTCATGTATGTGGGCCGGGGAGCTCGATCGTACAGCCTGATCGGGGCCTGGGTTCCCAGTGGACTCGTGGCGCTGATGATGGGGTACCGCAGTGGGAATGGGATGAACTCGGAGACCCCGAGTGGCAGTGGCAGTGAAACCAGCTGGGAGAGAGTTTAAGCTCGTGCACTATGTTCTGACACATCTCCCTTCATGAAATTCTCATTTTTAATATATCAAAAGCACTCGCTTTGAATAATGTTTTTTCTGTACATAATTTCATTGGAAATACTCTTCACTCTTAATAGCACTGTTTTGTTCAAACCATCACATACCAAGACATAGTCTCAAAGCGATACAATTATTAGATTAGCAGTTACCTACTAGGATATCATTAGGCTTACGCGGCACCATCCCCTCCCTATACACCTAGAGATTTCCCCCCAGAAGAAGAAAATCGACCCATCACCTTCCCCTAAACTGGCACATCCTTCATTTCATTCGATTGCTCACCACCACACTGCTCAGCAAAAGCATCATGCGCGCACAGCGGATCCCGTCTCGCTCGCTTAATCTTGCCATGCGTCAATCGGCGACGCAAATAAATCAGCACCCAGGAAAGGAGAAAGATAACCAGAACCGCAGCCAAGATGCCAAAGCAGTACCCCACCACACGCTTGCTCTTCTCTCCGTGCTCGCCGACGTCGAGAAAGGAGTATGGGTACCAGCCCTCAGTTTCATGGGTGATGTATGCGACACAGAGATATAACAGGAGCATGAAGATTAGGAATGGGATTGCAATGAATGGGTGCGGCGCTGTGGCTGTGATAATAATTTCCAGTAGGGCGTAGACAGAGTTTAGGGAGTGTTGGGAGATCTGGAGGTTGGTGGGTTAGCTTGAACTGTGGATTTTCGCAAGTGTTTTTTTTTTTTTTTTCGCTTTTTCGCTCTATATCTGCGGAATGGAGGGTAGAGCTTGTGATATGACAATGTCGATGCTCAGGAAGGTTTTTGTTTTGGATTAATAAGCTTTAATAAGAGGGCTGATCCATATCTTTGTGGTGGGTCGGAAAGAAAGTATAGATAAAAAAAAAAAGAAAAAAAAAAAAAAAAAGTCAGACACATACATTTTGCCAGCCGGTGAATGTCTTCTTGTACCAAGGCGGAGTGAACAGTACAGCCCAGAAGACAATTGTAACGAGAAACGGGTACGTCGTAATTGTCACATACAACAGGCTGTGTAGCACTCGAAAGGCTCGCGGCCAGCGGTCGAAGAGAACCGAGTGGCCTGTTCGTGCATAGAAGGCTGTGTGGATCGCAGCGAATAGCATATAGAAGCCAATACCCCAGTAAGTCAGCCAGGTGAAGTAGCTGAAGGAGTGGCCAATCGAAGCGTGGTCATTGTGGGTGCCAAACCAGCCCCAAAAGACGAAGATGGAGGTGAAAATGTATAGTGAGATCAGAGCGCGAAGACCGGCGAGGATGGCGGGGGGTAAGATCCAAGACGTTTCGAAGTGGTGCTTGTCATCGGTAGTCGGGTCGACTCCGAAGAGAGTGGTTAGTGAGAGTCGTGGCATGTTGGTTTGTGCCTTATGCTTTCGTTGTATCTCCGGAGAATTGAAGCCAAAGAGGCTAAAAAGCAAGAAAAAGAAAATTCAGCTGTGTATATACTAGCTCAAACGGGCAGTTAGTCGCTAGCTAGACTAAAAATGGACTGGGGCATTGGATGCCTGATTCTCCACCGTGATATAGAGCGAACTCGCAAGCCGTTCTGCGCCCTTACGGATCGATTAGGAGGACCAGAGCCAGTCATGCAGGCAGCTTTGCTTTCAGTCTCATGTTCGATTCATTTTTCCTCCCACAAGCAATGGCTCTACAGAACGAGAAGAGTTTGAAGGAGAAGAATTTGAAGGAGAAGAGTTTGAAGGCTTGTGGTTGAAGGTAACGTTGAATCGGTATCGATTTCAATCTTCTACGTCACCAGTCGCTGCATACATTGCCGTCCCAGTTCTCGGTAAATTCGATCATAAATCCAGTTAGATAGAGCTGGACGAGATGTTACCTTCTTTTTATTCTAGCTCTTAATTGAAATATCCCTCCCACAGAAAAATGACACATGCTACCGATTCCCAATCACCACATTAAAGAATAGCACAATCTCGCTACTGCCACCCAGCCAATTCCAATATCCCCTGTACAATCAATTTCAGTTAATAAAATAAGGGCATATAAAGATACCCTACTAAGTCTAGCGGATATCATAGATGTCTTCTAACTCCGACCCTTTTAAATTGATTATTTATTCGATTCAGCTTCGCTTATACGGGTAGTTAGTGGACGCTTTCCCCCGATCTCAAACCGCTTTTTATCTTGATAAATAGATTCGGTTGGTACTATCCTAATATTAGTACTAACGACAATGTTAGAATAGCCGTAATAAGGACATTTAATCCCTTACAATACCTCCATCTTCGCGGCTTTCGCAGCGTCTTGTCTTTCTATCGAATTATCTGGCGCTACGGCTCTTCTCTAAAGGGTCTTATTATTATGCCATGTACCTAGGATAAGAGTAAGGTAACGGGGCCGATTCTAGTATTCGAGACATCTATTCTTCTAGAGATATTCGTAAATACGACAATAGAGATACGGCATCAGTCGCTCCATAAAAGCTCACATAAAAGATGCATCCCCGAGAGACTAGCATGGTTTCTTTCTGATATATGGCCGCCAGAGCCTGGAGAGAAGTACTAGGAGTTGACTCGCAGCAGCCTCCCTTTGCAACCAGATGATGCTTAATATTTTTGATGCCGGCTGCTAAGCAAGTTAAAAAAAAAAAAAAAAAGATTCAGTATGTAGATACATGTAGCAATCTGCAGTCATATACGCTGTAGGATAAACTAATATGTTATCCATCGATTTGTAAATGTAGCCCATAGAACTGATTTCATGAGGATTTGATCTCGTGTCATACTCTCAGCTGTATCCGCCGAGAGACTATAAGCAATGGCAAGAATTTGATCCTTCACTCGAGGACTAGTCTGCTTGTTTAAACTTTGTAGGATGCACTTACGTTCTGCGGCTACTAAAAATTTAGCAAGTGGTGTCTGGTCTCTTTCCTATTTCGTATAGCTCGACTAATCCTGCATGGTATCAAACTATATAGTAAGATATAAACTAGGATCTGCTAAGTGAGACTTGAGAAAGCTGTCATTTGCAGCTAGCTCGTCTTGCTTATAACGAGATAACCCTAACTCGCAGCCGTCCAATTGTTAAAGACGGTCTTGTGTTGGATTGCCGGAATGCTGGTTTGAGATATATCATAGATAATTCCCTAGCATCCTTTACGAACTGACGTCCCAAGCCCTCCCCTGTCAAATCTGAGACGGTTTCTCGGAGGATTTGAAGGCCCTAGCAGATGACGGGAAGGTCTTGGTAAAAAGAGGGGGCTGCTATTCCATAACAAGTGCGATTAGGCCGACTGAAAGTTGAGAGGGCCGTGCGTGAATCCAGACCATCAGCATGAAGCTAAAGGTTTTAGTGTCTTACGAGAAAAGAGAGCGCGATGTGACATACACTGAGACATCTGGTGCAAGAGTTCCGGTAGAAGATGATTCATTCTGCTTAGGCATTGCAGTCTTTGCAGCCCAATGGTATATATTTGCGAAAGGATAGAAGAGCCTGCAAATATCCGAAGAGAAAGAGAGTCAAAACAAGTGTTTTTTTTTCGTAGTTTGCTAAGCGTTGCTAAGTGTTGCCAAGTATTGCCAAGACGCAGTTTCTAAATCGCATCAAAACATGTCTTACTAGCTCCGTATTGATGGGTGATGTGTGTGTGTGTGTGTAATATTTTTAGTGTACCTAGTTAGGTACCCTTCTTGACTTAGGTAAAAACCCACATAGTGATTTGCGTAATCATTACGGAGTAGTTACGGAGTATGAATTTTAATAATAGGTGCGTGCCCTCTTACCTATAGAGCTGACCTTATGTAGTCTGGTGTCTAGCCTTTGGGCAACGAAAAGGATAGTACCTCAAACCGAGGCCCAATCTGAAGAAAGACCACACTTTATATTTGTTAAGCGCACATGGCATTCTATATAAAAAAATGGTCGTGGCCAAGGGCGTGCGAGCAGTGACTGCCCAGAGCCCTGCCTAGCCGCTGGATTTTATCCAGTTATCCCAAGTGTTTCCGTACGGTTCCAGCGCGCAGACTGTCTTTGTAGAGGTAGTCAGTAGTCAGGATATTCCCAATTAGAAGGACGAATGCCGTTGCCCGAAGAGCCACTTCGTTATCCGATTCGTAGGCCACATGCGTAAGTGCTATCAGGACATGGGCACCAACTTTCGTCCAAAGCGATGTATCATGTCATTTAGATACATCTTGCAACATCAGTAAATCCGAAATCCACTATTAGCTGCCGCGTGTAGTTAATGAGAAAAACATTCCAATCGAGCTCATCGAGATCACATGTGCTTCATCATGCTCGGAGACAGACTGTGAAAATAGAAAGCTAGGAGAATCTAGAGCGAATATATTTTGAAGAAATTGTATTCAAAAGAGAAGTAATGAGGGAGATGCGCTCTTCTTAAGGACTCTTGATATACTCTTCTTCCAAGGTCGAGTTTAATGTTCCCCAGGGCCTATGTATAGCGCAAGGTTCAGTCTAACCGTGGACCCGGAAGTGCATGCTGAGTAACATGTGATACTATTCCCAACTAGGGATAGTGCAAATCACAAACCATGGTTGAGTTGACTCAAAAGGCCGCGTATGTATATTTGTCCTTTCATCTCCCAAGAGACCTTCAATTTAGTGATTTTACTACTAAGATATAAAACAAATCATTATACAACGGTTCCCTGGAGAGATTCCACCGGGTTATATATTTATCCCATTATGACATATTTTCAACCCTTTTCGGACTGTGGTATCCGCTCTCGTGGCTTGCAATATAAGTAGGGGGTGGTTTCACTGCTCTCGGCTATTGGTGCGAATCTGGAAATCTGGCCCATCCTAGCTTTATATACTCCGTAACTAGGCACCAGCTGCTTCCAAGGCTGTCATAAATTCTAAACATAAAACGCAATCGCTCATGCATGTGGTTTCTTCAGATCAGCAAATGGTGAAACCACCCGTGTGGGGAGAGACGGCAGAGGAACTAGGACTGGAACTAGAATTCTAGAAGATAGCGGGTCAAAGAAAACACTCCCGAGGTCAGTTATAGTGAAATGTTTAGTGAAATCAATAGTAGATTCCCAAGGGTTATATATTCAATTAAAGAATAGTTATAGCCAATAACAATACATAGTATGCTTGATGTTATTCCTGTATTCTTGGCGACCCCCTGAGCAGTTCTCTCCCCCTGAGACGATCCCTTGTCAAACGTCGAGACCCGGTGGAGCGACTGTTTTATTTTAGTGCACGGGACGCTTCTATTTACACCTTGTCATAGTCTCGTTCCAAGGTTTGCAATTGTGATCGTCAGTGCCCTCCGTTTTTCTCCTTTCTCCTTTCTCATCTCTCTACGGAGTATACTCTCCTCCTTTCCAATGCCCTGAAACTCCTTATTCCTTGCTTCAATACTGTCTGTAGGGCTGTCATTCCTTTGGCTCTATAATCTCGCCTCCCCGCCCGAACCCCCCTTTGTGTGTTATCCGCAACTCCGCCCTCCGCCCTCAACTCAGAACTTCAAAGACTACTCCGATGCTTCCTGCGCAAATCTCGAAAGATCCAACCGACTCAGGATAAATGATTCAATAGCCGACCATTTCATATTCACCTATCTATCATGGACATGCGAGGGAAACTGAGCGAATGCCGCTCCATATCCCACGACACCCTGCGGAGTGGCTCGCCACGGGTGGCGCATTTTGACGGCGAGGTTCCTCCCGCACTCTCCCCCCTCGATGCATTCGCTGCTCAAAGCCGATTTCTCGCCCGACAACTCGATGAGTCTCGACGAGGAGACCGCCGCATGAGTCGGTTACCGCCGGCGAGTGTGGCTCGATCGCTTTCGCAAGGCCGCCCGGGCTTCTACCGTTCCAAATCATCGACTGAATCCCGCACAGAACTGACTCGGAAACCCACGCAGAAGGGATTGCCGGAGTTCGAAGACCCCAAGTACCGTCCTGTCTCCGAACATCCCCGCTTGAGCTCAATTTCCCATGCTAGCACCGAAGCTAGCTATTACGAGGATGATGACAATGCGACACCTCGGACAACGATGTATAACACTGGTCCGGAGACGTATGGGATGCCGCGCGCCGAGTCACCAGAGGAGGTTACATCACACGCAAGTGGAGCGGAGGATGCGCCTGCTGGTGTGGCGGTTGCTAAGCCGCAAGGTTCATCGATCGACTCAGCTTCGCGACTGGACATCCCACGCACCTTGGCACCACCAGTGTCACCGCGGTCGCGCCCATCCAGTAGTGCCAAAGTGACACACCCCGAGAGTTCTGATGATGACTACAGCAGCTCTAATGGTGGGTCGACATTCTCCCAACCCCGAAAGCTGTCCTCTGGAAGTGCTGTGTCATTGCCATATTCTCCTATGTCGACATTCCCTGCACGACCACACCCTCGATCGCCATCCTTGAGTTCGGAGACATCAGGAACAGGAACGAACCACCTCCCCCGCCCTTCGTTCAATTTCTCTCGACCGCTGAGTCGGTCCAGTACGAGCCTGTCTGCTCCTGGAGCTTCGACGCCTACAGAACCGATCCTTGCTTCTGGATCGAACCAGATGTATCGCCGCAGCAGGCCGACTCCACTCCTCTTGCAACTTTCTACCGAAGATGCTGCTGCCGCGGCAGCCATGGAGGGTGAGCCGTCGTCCGCCGTCTCGTCTTATGTTTATGCCAAGTATGCGCTTCCGCGCGGACGCTTCCTTTCACGGGATTCTGTGGTTTTTGCGGGCTTGCAAACGCCCCATTTCGAGTGGGAGGAGCCCCTATTTGAGAAAACCCCTCCTCGGCACTCAGAGGAGCCGCCGCGGATGGCACGAACACCATCTCCTACTCACCACCGTCAATTTGAGCACTCACCGAAGCCTCACTCGATGCACGAAGTTCCAGCTTCTAATCCTGAAATCCCGACCCCGATGCCGACATTCCAACCCCAATCTCCACCTCAATCCCCCCTCAGCCTCAACCCCAACCTCAACTTCAACCTCAAACCCCCAAGTCTCAGCGAGTCCCACAACCCCCTCCTGTGCCCGACTCGCCAGTGGAGCCCGCACCACGGCCCTCTGTTGAGAACACCCGCCAGACGACTAGCGACAAGGATGAACCCGTCTCTTCTGCGGATTCGGCCAGCACCATGCGACCCCAAACCACTGCCGCTCAGGTGACAGCTTCCGGCCTCACGGCTGATGACCATGTCGCTAAGGGCATTGAGTGTCACGAGCGAGGATCCCTGAGCGAATCGACGTATCATCTGCGAGTTGCCGCGAAGCAGGACCACCCGACGGGAATGCTGCTTTATGCGCTGGCCTGTCGGCACGGTTGGGGCATGCGATCCAATGAGAAGGAGGGTGTACGATGGTTACGCAAAGCTGTGGATTCCGTCGGATTGGAAATGTTGGCTGATCCGGATGCTCCCGGTGCGTCGAAGGCGAAGGAATTGCAAAAGGCATACCGAGCTCAATTTGCTTTGAGCATTTATGAACTGGGCGTCAGCTACTTGAATGGCTGGGGTATCGAGCAGGACAAGTCTCTTGCCCTGCGCTGCTTCGAGATCGCCGGTCAATGGGGTGATGTTGACGCCATGGCCGAAGCCGGATTCTGCTATGCGGAGGGTGTTGGCTGTAAAAAGGATATGAAGAAGGCGGCACGCTTTTATCGCCAGGCTGAAGCCAAGGGTATGAGTATGGTTGGAAACAGCTGGTACGTTTTTCTTAGTCGTTACATTCCATTCGACCGTACTAACGAGTATCTGCAGGATCTACAAGGACAAATACAACGAGGTTGAGTCCACATCCACGTCCACCTCCACTGGACGCTCCCGTGGCCGAAATGCCAGCGGAGGAGAGAAGGACAAGAAGCCGCGCAGCAAGTCCCGCACTCGCAGTATCTTCCAACGCAAGAAGTCCAACGTGTCAGAGGCATAGACTATCTGTCTGTTTTATTCACTTTGCTTTCCGTCTCAACGCGTTCCCCTTGGAGTTGTGGAAGAACCATCCATTTTGCATTTTGCATTATGCTTGGAGCGTTCTGAGCCCCGATCTTTGATTTATTCGCTTTTTTTTTTTTTTCAACTCGATTCTTCGACTTACATTCCTTCACTTTCTCATGTCTAAACTTTTTCTTGTTCTCGTTTCTCCTTTCCCGAGCCGCCTGGGCAGCTGTTATCGAGCATGGACCTAGTCTGGTTCACGTGTCTCGCTTAATACTTCAATTCTTCGTGTATACCCTTTTCATTTCTTCCCATCATTTCGCCAAATTTTTTTTTCTTTATTTTCATGGCACCCTCTTTTTTCATTTCTTTTCTTGGTCATATTTATTGGATATGATCCCCTGAACAATTTTGTTCATATTTTGACTCCTATTTTGACCCATATTTGCTTGATGCCTCAGTGTGGCGATTCATGAACTCATGACAGAATCAAGACAGCGTTGATCTGTATCTTTTTGGACTTGTAGGATCATTTCCTTGATATTCTCCAGTTTTTTCCATTCCAATATATAAAGACAAAGTAATACCCTTGGAAGTTCTAGACCCCCGCATTTGTTCCCCGGCTTTTGTCTCGGAGCATTAACCCGAATGTCTCTCAATTGCCTAAAATGGCTACATCTCCGGCCTTGCCCCCCAAAATCTATTGGCATCTTTTGGTTTAGCGGGGGATTTAGCGGGGATTGACAGAACCAGTTCGGCTTTTCTGGCTTTCGCCTTTTGCGTATAGACGTATAGCACCTCTGAATACGGGGGTGCACACTCCTTGCATCCAGGGTCGCCCCTCCTTGGCAACACGCTATCTTGCTAGTCTCATCGTCCACCAATAAGCAGCCTGTTATTCGACAATCTAGTGCAACCGTGCTCCATATGAGTATCTCTTGAAATGGTGCCCCCAAATCTCTCATACATCATTTAGGAAAAGGCTTTGGTAGGACGAATGCACCCGCTCCGACGCATGCCGCTTATTAGAACAGTCATTCTTGGTATTTTGGTCCACCTCGGCTCTTCTCTTTCATGTGGCGATGATGATTAGACTTATACACTCTTAATTTGAAACGTTCTATACACCCCAGACTGATTGATCGTATCTCCCCGGAAATCCGGAGTTCCCCAGACGCTAAAATGAGACATGGAGTTACTATAATCTACATATTGAATTAGTCAAATGACAAAAAAAAAGAGCTAAAAGCACTAAAAGTAACTAAAAATAAAAAGGAAATGAGATGAGGGCTACTCCGTATATCGTACCTAGGTGCATTATATTTCCCCTTTCTTTTTCGGATTGCATTTTGGTGGCTTTTTGCCTGCATAACATGTGACGCTAGAATATACCTTGTCGGCTTCTTCATTTTCCAAGGTCCCAAATATTCTTTTTCCAAAAGGTGGATTTTTGGATTTTTAATATAAAGTATCGAGTACTACCCACACCCTTCTAGAGCCTGTGCTTGTATTACTTTCATTCATTCCCATTTTCTTTCTGGCTTCGAGGCTCTTCTCTTTTCCCTAGGTGTTTGTTCCACTCGGTATGTATATGTCTGGTCCAGAACCATCTTCCAGCCCCTAATCCCTAATATAAACCACAGTACCAAAATGTCGTCCGCAAAGCCCGAATTCGTCGAGGAGGAATCCCACATAACCCCAATCCCAACCAAGAAGAGCTTCGGCGCGCGTGTTGGCGCTCATTTCAAGAAATGGTGGTGGGTGCACTTGATTATATTCATCGCCTGTTTCCTCATTATCCTACTGCCGGTGTAAGTCCACTCCATCCTTATTTTAAATCCGTCTTGACCACGCGGACGCCACACGGTCCGGACCGCAACATGAACATTCCACTCACCCTGCATTGCATCATCTAGTGTCTACGTCGCCTATCCCAAGATCGCACAAGATGCTGTCAACGACTCAACCCTCAAGATCACAGAGATGATCCTCAGCAACCCCACACCCGAATCATTCCGTCTCGAGCAGAACCAGGTCCTCGGCTCGGATAGCTCTTATCACCCCCAGATCTACGCTTTCAATTCCTCGGTCTCGCTGGCCGGAAATGATCCTTTCGCTTATGTTACCGTCCCGGCTGTGAAGTCAAAGGATGGGGCGGAGATTCACTTCAAGCAGGATGTTGCTTTGACTGATGCTTCTGCATTTGCGGACTTTACTACCGCTGTTATGTTGAACGAGGAGATTTCGATGAATATCTACGGAAGACCCGGTTTGAAGCAGGGTGGTTTGCCTAAGACCACGGTTACTTATAACAAGACTGTTGTTATGAAGGGTATGTCTCTGTACCTGGTTTCTTGAATACACACAGTGTATGATTGAAAGAGCAAGATGTACTAACTCGATAAACCAGGCCTGAACAAACTTAAGGGCTTTACCGTATCCAAGTTCTACATCATGTACCCACCAGTCAACGGATACGGGATGAACGGCACCGTCATCATCCCCAATGCCTCCGTCATGACGATCCCATTGGTAATTATTCCTCTTTCTATATATCACATCCCCATCCCCCACAATGCTAATGCAAACAAATAGGGCAACGTAACCCTGAACCTCGAGCTAGCTGGCAAATCAGTGGGAACAACCTACCTGACCGACCTAACTCTCAAGCCAGGCAACAACACCGTGCCAATGATCGGCAAGGTCGACCAAGCCACTATCATTACTCTGCTCGCATCAAAGTCTAGCCCTTACAAAGACGGCATCATGCCCTTCGACATCACCGGAAACGCGACATCAACATACAACGGCAAGGAACTGCCGTATTTCAGCAAGGCGCTGGCTGCGAACAAGCTGTCTATCAAGCTGGATGTTAAGTCTGCACTGAGCGAGGCTGGTGTTAATCTGTCCCTGTAGTGGGGTTTTATGTTTTGTGGGTGGTTATACCGTTTCTGTTTATGCTCATGGTTTATGCTCGACGTTCGACATTTCTATATTTTATTACCATCACCGGTAATGGGATTCGGTGATTTCTATGTTGCTGTTTGGTGGTCCACTTTTGTGTGTCTTTAATACCCTTTTTTTGTTATAAGGTTGCGGGATGAATATAATTTCCACTATCTATGGATTTGGTTCTATAATAAGTGTCAAGTACTATGCATTTATGCATGCTGAAATTACCAGGTCTTTACAAACCGGAAAATCAATGGACCGTCATGATAACGGTACCATACAAAAATACATACATTGCTTAATCAGCTATGTCCGCCGAGATTGGAAAAGAGCGGATCTTGTCATTTTAGTTAGTTAGAGAATTTACATATGTCAGATTTACCATACATTGTCGTATCCGTCTATTTCTGTCAGTTATGAGCCCGGCTTCGTTCCAATTAAGATCTGTCTACAACATATAGACCATCTTTTACCTAGCTGTCGCCGATTCACAGTGGTTTTGACAACGGTCAACCCCTGAATCGTCGAAGCACCCCTATCTCCTTCGAAGAAGATCAGATTCATCGACGAAAATCGACAATAATGAATATCATGTCAAGCCTCTCCGCGGCCTCCTCCCGCGTCATTTTGAAGGATACAGAATCATGGGATGCATGGCTCTCATATATTAAAGCAATTGCAGTTGCATATAAAGTATGGGATCAATGCAATCCGTCTCTTAAGGAGGAAGAACGTCCTAAATTGGAACCACCTGAAGAGATCATCTCTGTCAAAGATGCCATAAAAGAATACCCAGAACACTGGTTCAATGTGAGGCTATCCCTAAAAGCAGATTGGGATGCAGAGAACAGAGCCTATCAGTCGAAACTACAGGCATTAGATCTAGTGGCGGTGGCAATTAGGCAGTCAGTTGATACTCCCTACCAGCCCTTTATCATTGATATACTATCACCTTTGGAGCTGATGCTCAATCTCCACAAACGATTTGCACCAGAGAGCGATCCTACATACAAAACTAAGCTCCGTCAACAGTGGCGGAACCTAGATAGAGGCCTAGATCGGAACACCGACATCGAGAAATGGCTTCTAAACTGGGAATCGCTTTACCAATCGTGTAAGAAGGCAAGGATGCCAGAAGCAGAGGATGCCACGAATCAATTCCTTGAAGCAATCTCTATAATGTCGCCTGGATTCTATGAAACATGGGCTCTCAGAGTACAGGATAATCAGGATATCCCTTTCTTCGAAATCATGACTCGGTACAAAGCCCACTGGAAGATTACCCATGGCAGGCCGGCTGCGCAAAGAGGCATCTCAAAGGCTGCTTTCTCGACATGGCAAGGCAATGAAGAAGCAAAGCCTATAGAGGCAAGGAATGATGGCCTAGAAAGAAGGCTATGTCCATGTGGCAGGGTAAAATCGAGAGTTTATATGCCTTGGGCCTGCTGGGAAATCTATGAAGATAGAAGGCCTGCTAATTACCAGCCCTCACCGGCATTGAAACAGAAGTGGGAGAAGGCCATGAAGGCTAATCCTAGATGGAAGGCAATTGTCGACAAGAAGCGAGCTGCATATGCAGAAGGCCAAGGGGGACCCTTGCTAAAGAGCAAGCGAATACAACCCTCGACGATGAAGCCTTTGGCTTCTTGACAACCAACGCAGTCAAAATTGACACCGTTATGTCAACAAAAATCAAGGATTTTGAAGCCACAACTACACCTACAGAAGACAGATGGGTAGTTGATACAGGTGCTCAAATCCACGTATGCAACAATCGGAGCTTGTTTAGCACCTTTAAAAGCGTACAGAGCAACGTCAAAGTGGGAGATACAGAGACGAAGGTGGCCGGTATAGGCACTGTGGTCATCTATGGTGTAAACCCTACCACTGGAAGCGCCGTTAAGATGAACCTATTTCAAACTAGGTACTCGCCAAACTTCCATAGTAATCTGATATCTCATGGATTGATGATGAAGGGGGGCCTATTAATGAATCTCAGAGCAAACTGCATTGAGACAATTGATGGCCATCGTCAGATCTATA